TAGATCTCAAAGTACTTTACAAAGGAGGGGGCAGCCCCATTAGCCCCATTGTACAGCTGGGGAAACCGAGGCACAGGGAGGGGAAGTGACTTGCTCGAGGTCACCCAGCAGGTCAGTGGCTGGGCCAGGAATAGAATCTAGGTCTCTTGAGTGATTTTCAGCCCAGTGCTCTGTCCCCCGGGCAACACTGTCCCATTTGGTCCATTTAGCCTCTTTGGGGCAGGGAGTGTCTCTTGCCATGTGCACGTGCAGCGCCCTGCGCAACGAGGCCCACGTCTAAGTGCAGGCGGGGCCAGGAATAGAATGCTCTAACCACTGGACCACGCTGCATCTCCCTTTGGGTGAAAAAAGACTTATTTTCCTTTCACTTTCAGACTGTAACAGCCCATGGACAGTGACCATGGACAGATGGACAGCCGGGCGGCAGTCACTGAAAGGAAAACAGTGACGGTAATTCCAGAGTAAAGGCCCACCCGTCATTTACCTGTCCCCATGCAGCCTCCAATGCAATAGAACCCCATTCTGGCCAGGGACCTGCCAGAATACCAATCACACGAGGGCAGGGCAGTTCACAGACACCACGTTGGGTTGGCACCTACTGAACACCAGAGTGGGTTTGAGACAGAGTGATGGGGGGCACTGGTCTTTGGGGGCCTCCTGCTGGCAGCTGCAGCGTCCTGACACAGCAGAGCCCGGGTTTATTGGAAGCCTCTCGACTCTGCTAAAGACAGAAGTGATAACAACATGCCTCTGTTACCTCCTGGGTGTGTGCAGCGCCCAGACCCGTGGACTGATTGAGGCCTGTGAGCGTTACTATATTCGCAGTGGTATTCCAGAGCCTGACATGATCCATTGGAAGCTCTATGGAGCGGAGACCACCTTTCATCGGTGTTGGTTCTGCGCCTAGCGCCATGAGGCTCTGGTCCAGGACTGGGGCGCCCAGGCACTACCACAATACAAATAATAACGTTCACAGAGTTTCACTTTTGACACTTGCTTCTTATCAAACTGTCTGTACTGGGCTATCTTGATTATCACTTCAAAAGTTTTTTTCTCTTACTTAATTGGCCTCTCAGAGTTGGTAAGACAACTCCCACCTGTTCATGCTCTCTGTATGTGTGTATATATATATATATCTCCTCAATATATGTTTCACTCTATATGCATCCGAAGAAGTGGGTTGTAGCCCACGAAAGCTTATGCTCTAATAAATTTGTTAGTCTCTAAGGTGCCACAAGTACTCCTGTTCTTTTTGCGGATACAGACTAACACGGCTGCTACTCTGAAACCGTTCACAGAGTTGTAGATTTCAAGCCAGGAGGGGTCCGTTCTGCTCAGCTATCTGACCTCCCGCAGCGCACAGGCCGGAGGATTTCACCCAGTGATCCCTGCATCAAGCCCAGAGCTCCAGCCTGAGAGAGAACGTGTCTCAATAGCAGAGGCTGTGGCGGACGTACATACCTGATTAGACCAAACTGCGCCCGTTCATGTTTCAGAAGAACGCGCGAATCCTCGGACCGGGTCAATGTGGTCCTGTCTCCGGCAGGGGCCAGCTTCAGAGAAAGGTGCAAGGACACTAATGGTACACCCTGACCATAGGGCTTTGTGGCTGACTTGCCCAGCTGCGGCTTGGTCGCTGGGCGTGCTGGCCCTTTAAGGGGAAGGTGGGTTCAACCTCACCTATCCCCAGTTAGGGCTGTGGTTGGATCAGGAGTTGAGACAGCTGCAGCAGGAATACAGGAAAGAAGACCAGGGAACAGGTGCTCTGTGCCCGCCTGAGAGAAGGGTCTGGGCTGGAGCTATGTACAGGAGGTGCTGTGGGAGGGTATTTCTATAAGGAAGCAGCCTGGCTAGGACAGTGCAGGCAGGGGGGAGTGTGACAAGGAACTGGCACTTGCTCAAGGATCTCGGCTGGGCCTTTCGGGGAGGACAGGAGGCAGCTTCCCCACCTGCAACTTCTTTTGGCCGATGGCGAAAAGGTCAACGGGCTGCTGAGCTGGGGAGGCGGAAAGAGAGGAGCTGAGGCCTGGTGAACGTGAGACCTCCCCGAGGGCACCCCCTCACTGAGGTTCCCCTGTTCACACGTGACTCCAGGAGCTGGGGCTTTAAGGAAAGCACCAAAAGGTCACGAGCCTTGTAAGGATCCACAAATCTCTGACTGAAGCTTGCAGACAAAGGGTGGTCAGGTGCATAAGGCGCTGGCCTGCAAATCAGGAGATCTAGACCCAGTTCCTGCCTCCTTGGGTGACCCACTTAATCCCTCTGCGTCCCAGCCCCTCCTCTGACGCAACCTTCCTTTATCTTCTCCTCTCTTTGCACTGCTGACTCTTGGGGGCAGGGATTGTCTTGCTCTGGGTATGTACAGCCCCGAGCACCATGGGGCCTTAGGTGCTACAGTGATGCAGTTGGCACTGATCTAACCCTGAGGCTTGGGCTCTGCCCGTTGCCTGCTGAGCAGAAATAGCTTCACGATTTAAATCTTAATATAAAGCCAGTGGAAAACGTAAAGGCCTCCATAGTCCTTGCTTTAGCTCTGTCTTAGCTTGTACCTGGGCAAGAAAATGGGAGGGAGGGAGGTTGCAGAGAAGGCACCGGGGAAGAATCTCTGGCCTTCCAAGCACCTGCAGGCCTGTGCCACCCCATAGGCAGACTCCCCCTTGCTTGGGGGGCTGCCCGCTGCTGGCTGGATGGGGTGCATGCTCTAGCACAGTGGCTCTCAAACTTTTTTACTGGTGACCCCTTTCACATAGCAAACCTCTGAGTGCAGCCCCCTTTATAAATTAAAAACACTTTTTAATATATTTAACACCATTATAAATGCTGGAGGCAAAGTGGGGTTTGGGGTGGAGGCTGACCACTTGTGACCCCCCCATGTAATAACCTTGTGACCCCCTAAGGGGTCCCGACTCCCAGTTTGAGAACCCCTGCTCTAGCAACAACTCTGGACCGCCATGGATGGAGGTTGGTTGGGACCATGCACACCTAGAGTGCAGAAGAACTGAGTTGCTCAGAAGATCCTGACAATCTCCCCCACGTCCTCTGGAGATCCCTCTTCCCCCTCGTGCTTCTCCCTCCCCCCGGGCCTGACAGCACCCTGGTTGCTTCTCGCAGAGTTGCTCAGAAAATGGATTTTCCAGCCTGTGAAAAATTTAGATTTTTGTTTTTTAAAACTTCCATCCCCAAGTCAAAATGCTGAAATTTTTCACAAAAATGAAATTCCTCCCCCCCCCCAAAAAGTTTTGAAACAAGGAGAATTTTTTTTTCAATTCTATTTGAAATACTTCCTTCAGATTTGTACCCTTTTAATTGTTTTCATTTCAAAATGTACTTTGATTTATATAGGAAAAGCAAAAGTGGTTCTGAAACAAAAAAATCTTTTTTTTTTGGTTCCAGTGTTTTTTTTAACGTTTTCAAAATGTCCTTTGTCCATTTTTTTTTTAATGACTTCATCGGTTCATCTGAGTTTGGGACATTTTTGATTGTGTTGAAATGGCATTTGCTGACGGAAAACGGTTTAGACATTTTTCCAACCGGCTCTAACCTCTAGCTCTTTGTGTCCTGGGATCTCAAAGCAACTTAACCGGTGTTATGGGTTAATACTTCCCAATCTTCCCACCCCCAGGAGGGTTGGGGAGTAGTGGGGGTGTCCTGGCAAGGAAGGTGGGTGTGAAGGGGTTAAACACCTCCCAGATGTAGCAATTAACGCTTTGCACCTTCCAGCAGAGGATCTGGAAGCCCGTTACAATGATTAATAAGCCCAGGAGTTAAGGGGAATTGGCCCAGGAATGGCGCCTCTTAGTGGACTAGCTAGGAAGTACAGGGAGCTAAGGGGGTGCTGCTTACCGAGGCCAGGGAGAAAAGGGGG